GCTCTCAAATCCACGCCAGCACACCCCTGCTCACCTGTGGCACGGTCATGGAGCAGATCTTGCCGAAGAGGACGTGTCCTGAGAGGGCGAAGATGATGATGTTCCTGAACGAGGTGAACCACATCACCCACTCAAAATCAGCCACGTCCTGCAGGAGCAGCACCAGGCACTTTACTGCCCCCAGCCCCACAACTTTTAGAGCTTTTTCTTCCCATTTTCCACCCAAGGGCTCCCAAGCACTTTAGCTCAGATATAAAACCCCAGGAGGGACGTGCAGAGGTCGCTCATCCTGGAGCACACAAAGTGAAGCATCCACAGCCCCACAGTGATGCCTCAGGGTTGAGCTTTTATGTTTTTTACATTCTGTGCTGCTTTACTGTGTGGGTCTGGGCTTCATGTCAGGGGATACTGAGCTCTCTGCACAGAGCAGGGAGACAAAACAATTCCTTCTCCAGCTGGGCACCAAGGACAAATGATCCAAATCTCAGCCCAGGAGCACAAACACCGTGGGCTGGAGAGAGAAAAACAAGCAGGATGGGACTGCCTGGGCTAAAGCTGGAATGGGACAATGAACTCCAAGGTGCCAATGGAGCAGAACTGATCCCAGGGAGAGCCCCCGGGAGCGCTCGTGCATTTTGGGGCCATTTTGGTTCATCTTGGGTGCAGCCCTGGCTGGGCTGTGGTGCTGCCCAAGGTGGATCCATGGAGGAGATCCTTTAATAAATCCCTGCTTTATTCTTTAGCTCTGTCCAACCTCTGTTCTAGGTCAGCCTGCACAAGGCATCAGCAGGGCTGGTGTTTTCCCCACTTCTTTAGGGAGGAAAATACAAGTCAGGTGGACTTTGCAAAAATGTGTCAGTAGCAGAAAAACCAGCTCTGTTTCTCCACTGACCAGGTTGTCTGTAGCTAGAAAAGCCCAAAGCCCTTCCTCACTCACCATCTTCCTGCCGAAGTAGTGCCAGCCTGGCTTTATGCCATCCCGAAATGCTTTTCTGTTCATGCTGTCTGCAAAAGAACCAGAGTTACAGGGAGAGAAACAGCTCTGGAAAACAGGATCCAGGTTCAAACCAGGCCCAGAACCTTCATCACTGTGATAATGAGCCATCAGGGCTCGAATACCCCATCCCAAATGTGCCTGATTGCCATGGACAAAAAAAAAGAGTCGGAGACAGCAGGTTTCTGCAGGAATTTTCAGCAAAGCCTTTTTCTCATTACACATTCCCTGTCTGATCTCATAAAGTTGTTGGGTTTGTGGGCTTCCAAATGAAAACCAAACCAACCGAACACAAAAAAAGCCAAAAAACAAATCAAAACAAAAAACACCAAACCAACAAAAAACCCTAACCAAAAAAACCAAAACAAAACCAAAAAAACCCCCCCCCAAAAAAAAAACAAACAAAAAAACAAACAAACAAAAAAAACCCCAAAAAACCCCAAAAACAAACAAAAAAGGGAATCAGCCCTTCGTGAGCAGGGTGGTGGTGGTTGCCTGGTGTGGCACTACCTGGGGACCTGTGACATCCCAAATGTGCCTGATTGCCATGGACAAACAAAACCAACCAAACACAAAAAAAAGCCAAAAAAAACAAAACAAAAAACACCAAACCAACAAAAAAACCCTAAAAAAACATACAAAAAAAACCCCAAACAAACAAAACAAAAAAAAACCAAAAACAAACACACAAAAAAGGGAATCAGCCCTGTGTGAGCAGGGTGGTGGTGGCTGCCTGGTGTGGCACTACCTGTGGACCTGTGACATCCCACAGCCTCTTGCCCTGAGCAGTGGAAATAGAGACAAAGAGACAACCAGGCAAAAAAACCCTTTAAAAAAAAAGATTTCCAAGCTGTTATCTGCAAAAACAGCCGCTGGAATCATCTGTAAAAGCAGGCACCTGATACCCATCACCCTGCCAGGTTACCTTGGGACGCCTGGAAGATGCCGCTGCCACTGTAGAGCACGGCACAGGTCACCACCAGGGCGTAAAATCCCAGCTCGTAGCTGGGGAGCATCGCCTTAACCCCCATGGTGGGGGGTCACAGCCCCGGCCGGCACAGGGGAGGGATCCACACCTGGGAAAGGGAAAGAGGAGAGGTTGGAGAACGGGGGATGAGAGCTCAGCTGCCCTCCTGTCCCTCAAACACCCGAAATTCCTGCTGCTGCTCCTCCCCAGCTCTGCTTTGTGGCTTGGCTGGAGGGAAGGAGAAGAGGGTCACACCTGGGGCTGAGCCCCGGGGCACAACTCAGGTGTGCAGAGGTTCCTGCAAACCCCACCCAGGAGCCGGGATTTGGGGCCAGGTGTTCCTGATGGGCGGCTCTTCCCATCTCTCCCGATTTTCCGAGCTGCTCCAGGATGGTCTCTGATGTTCCCACCTCTAAATCCCGGCTGGATCCGTGGAGGGGATCCAGGACAGAGCACAGACACCGCTGCTGATGGGTTTCTCCACCTCTCAGCACTTTGCCCAACCTCCTGCTCCTGGGAGGGCTCCGGGATCCCAAATTTCCCCTGCGGTGGCATCAGCAGCGCTCGGAGGACGGAGACACCCAGCCCCACAATTAACCCTAGGGCTAATTACTCCTGCAGAGGTTAATTAACCTCGGCGCGATGTGCCCCGCAGGAGGGATGAGGGGGACAGGGGACAGGGACATCCACCACCGCCACCATCCCTGAGAGCGCGGAAGGGATTAAGGCATAAAAAGTCGCCCCGTCACCCTCTGCTCTGGCCATCCGCGTTGCAAAGCTTCTGCAGTTAATTAAAATCACTCCATTTAGAAATTAAAATCATATTAAAATGACCGTTTTCATTTTAAGCCTTTATTTTTTTGGACGGCCGCCGAGGTTTTTAAGTGGGGGGTGACCCCATCTCCCCCCCCCACCCCGGCGTGCACCAAACGCGTTTCCCGAGGGGAATTTCGGGTTCATCCCGGGGGGGAAATTCGGGTTCATCCCGGGGAGAATTTTGTGTTCATCCGGGGGGGAATTTCGGGTTCATCTGGATGGAATTTCGGGTTCATCCCGGAGAGAATTTCGGGTTCATCCCGGATGGATTTTCGGGTTCATTTGGGGGGAGTTTCGGGTTCATCCCGGGCGGAATTTCGGGTTCATCCTGAAAGGATTTTCGGGTTCATTTGGGGGGAATTTCGGGTTCATCCGAGTGGAATTTCGGGTTAATTTGGGGGGAATTTCGGGGTCGCCCCGCGGGCGCTGCCGCCGCGCTGCGGTGTCCCTGCGGCGGGAGGGAGCGCACGGGGGTGTCTGTAAAAACCTTTTCTCTCTCCTTTCCACGCTTTCCAAAGCTTCTTTTTATTTTCTTTATTACATTTATTTTTATTTCTTTAGCGATGGAGCGGGCGGCAGGCGGTGACCAACCCTGGCGGGGACCCCTCGGATAGTTTTACCTCCTGATCGCTCCCGGGGAGGTTCGGGGGGTCCCAGCAGAGCCCCCCGCAGCTCCGAGAGCCGCAGGGCAGCACCATCCTCATCATCCTCATCATCCTCACCATCCTCACCATCCTCACCATCCTCACCATCCTCACCATCCTCACCATCCTCATCCCCCCGCTCCCCTCCCGGACCCCGGCCGGGCGCTGGGGACACGCAGAGGTGACAGAAAGCCCCGGAGGTGCGGGAGCAGAGTGTCACCACCCGCAGCGTGTCCCCGCACCCCCATCGCTCCCCGTACTGACCTTGAGCCCCGGGGCCGCGGGGGGAGGCGGGCGAGGGTCGGGGATCCAGCGTCCGGCAGCGATGGGGACAGGAGGGGGGGACAAGGGAAATGGGGGTGACAACCGAGGCTTTGGGGGCCGCTGATTTGCCCTACAGCATCTCTCAGGCCGGCTTGGGGCGGGGGTATTTTTGGGCTGCCGTCCCCCACCTTGCCCCTGGAGGAAGTTTGGCTGGGAGTGGAGCGGAGCAGGCGGGAGGTATTTTTATTTTCGAGCAGCACTGCAGAGGGGGGTGGCTCGGGAGCTGTCTGTCACCGCAGCTGCTGAGAGGACCCGTGCTGGCTGCCAAAACTCACCCCGGGGCACGACAGCCCCAGGCAGGGACCGGCTCCATCCCAGGGAGGGGGTTTGGGTCGCCACTTTCAGCTTTGCAAGGGAGGGGTTGCCCCCATCACCTTGTTCCAAAGGAAGATATCATTGCGTGGGGATGGGGAAACTGAGGCACGGAGCCAAAAGGATGTGTCGTTCCTACTCAGCTCGGGCAGTGTTTAAATCTAAGTGAGGCTCGGAGGCTGCAGCATCTCCTGCTGTCAGGTAAGAAGTGTCAGGGCAAGAGGAAACGGCCTCAAAATGTGCCAGGGGAGATTTAAGTTGGATATTATTGAAAACCTCTTCAGTGAAAGCGTTGTCAGGCACTGGAACAGGCTGTGCAGGGACGTGGTGGAATCACCATCCCTGCAGCGTCCCAAAGATGCTGCAGATGTGGCACTTTGGGGACAAGGTTTAGTGCTGGGTTAGCACTTGGATTCGATCATCTCAGAGCTCTTTTCCAACTTTAACGACCCTGGAGCCTCTACAGAACACCTTTGGGGGGCTTCCAGCATCCCCAGAGGGGACAGGAGGGGCAGGGTGGGGTTGTGGCTCAGTTATCTCAGGGTGGGCAAACACACCAAGCCCCTGTGACATCTGGGCACAGCTCACCCTGGGGCTGGCTCCCTGAGCATCCCTGGGCTGCCTGAGGTGTCAACACGGCAGAGATTTTATAAAAGTGCTATATTTTAATCATTTTATATTTTATAAAGTGGGATTTTGTAAATCCCTCCGTGGCTGGTTTGTTTTGGGGTGAGATGCTGTGGGGTCTGCAGGGAGGATCTGCAGCCCTGGGATCAGCCCAGCTCTGCTGTTGCACTGGCTGTGAACAAAAAAAGCTTTTTAGCAGGGTTTTGTTTTTCACCTGGTGCACACAGTGAGGCTCTCCCCAGCCAGGGCAGCGTGGTGACACTCCCAGCACCTAAGGAGTGCTTTAATCTTGTGAAAAACAAGGCTCACTCTCCTGTAAAAATGTAAAAGTTTAATAAAGGACAGCAGGAGAAAAAGACAATAAAGCAAAGATTTATGGCTGGGTGCTTGGCATTCAGCCAGGAGCACACCTGCTATTTTGGAAACACCCTTTATATCCCATTCCTATTGCATCAGCCTGTTACATATTCATAAGCAATTATGCATATTAAAACTTTTCCCCAAACTAGTTTACGTGTTTTAAGAATTGTTTAGCATGGCTCCTCCTCGGGTCTGCCTTTTTGGAGTATTTCTTGGTTGTGGTTTTAGTCTGTTTTTGTTATCCCCTTTAGTTTGGGCTTTGGTCTGTACTTTGTACCCATGGCAAGTTTGATAGTTGGCAAATCAGCAGCAGGGGTCCTCTTCATGTGTTCATGGAATGTTATCTCAGCCAAGCAGGAATTTTAACACAAGTTAAAATTCTTCTACCAGTTATTCCACTGCTATGCCTAACAGAAATAAAAACTACATCTTTATAGCAAAGTTACTTTAATATTATACATAAAGCACCCATTTTAATATCTGTGACTTTGTGGGCTTTATGTTGGGTAACTCTTTGAGGGCTCCCCTGACAGGGGAAAATTTTTTTTTGAAGTAGTTTTTTGTTAGGAAAAGTAGATGTAAAAGGCTTTTTTGGTCTTCAGGTTTTTGTTTTATTGTTATTTTATTAAAACTTCAGCACACTGTCTGTATTAGACTTTCTGTGTATGAAAAACAGTATAAAAATGGCTAACAATCTTTTGTTATAAGGCTTTTAAAGTTTAATTGAAAACTAAGTTACTTAATTAAGAAGTGACAATGAAATTCATTTTTTTAAACTTAAAAACTGATTTTTAAGGACTTGTAATGTGGATTTTTCTACTTAATCACAAGATATTCCTTAAACTTATGAAGAAAGAGGAAGAAGAAGAAAGGAACTTAAGACAACACTTTATATTTGTTATTTTGAACTTATACTAAAAATCTTAAAACTTAAATTTTTTTTACTCATGTGATATCCTACACTACTATCTATGATTTTTACAATCTATTTCACACTTTTGTGGTTTCTAGTTTACCTTGAGGCTTTGGAAGTTTTCTCTATGAATGAGGGCTAAAATCAGAGCTTCCCTGGGGGTCAGGACACCCCAGAGCAGACAGAGAAATATTCCCAGTGCCCTGGGTTTCCACAAAAGGCCAATATTATAATATTTATTTACAACAATGTGGATGCAGCCCCTCGGATGGCCCAGCCCTGATCCTGCTGCTGCAGCTCCATCCCTGCCCGGGGACCTGGCTGTAATTAACTGGCTAATTAAGAGCTCGGTGCAGATAAGCACGGGCCACAATTCCTCAGAAATCCTCACAATTCCTCAATCTCCCAGTGCCTGTGGCAGGCAGAGGAGCCTCAGCAGGAGGGAAAAGAAGTCTGTGGACACAGAAGGTGTGGGCTCGGTGTGGAGTGGGGAGAAAACGAGGAAAGGCAGATCAGTGTCACCCCCCTGGCAAAAAACCCACTCACTCCCCATCCCAATGCAGAAAGCAAAAGAAGGCTTCAAATCCCTTTTTTCCCCTTTTTTTTTTTTGCTGCTCCCCCTGGAGTATCCAGAGAGTTTCAGGCAGACGGTAGATTTTCACCTTCTTTGGTTTTTCTTTTAATCCTGAGAAATCTGTAATCCTGCTGAATTCAAAGTGCAACACAGGTGAAGAGCCAAGTGGTTTTTCATGAGGCTCTGGGAGCTATGGTGATAAAAATAATTTCGCTTTAATTTATAGATATTTTTAAAAATTAACACCCTCCTCGCTCATGATTTCTACTATAATAAGATTTATTTTTAATGTGACCAGGGTGTCTTCCTCAGCAGTGGGACATTTCTGTGTTTTACTGCCCCAGTGTTTATGGCTTTAAACGTCTTCAAGTGATATTTTTTCAAATATTTGGGGGGTTGCTGGAAGTTGTGGCACAGGATTTGAGGCCAGGCCCCTCTTTAGTGCCTGAGAAAGGTGGTGGGTTCCAGGAAAGGCGCTTGGCTCTGTCTCAGGGAGGCTTGGGACAAACTGGGGACATTAATGGGGACACCAAACAAAGTCCCTGGCTCCTGGGCTCCTGCTGCTGGAGCAGAAATTTGAATGGGAAGCACAGAAGTTTTTAATCATAGGATCCCAGAATGGTTTGGGTTGGGAGGGACTTTAAAGTTCCTCTAATCCCACCCCTGCCATGGGCAGGGACACCTCCCACTGTCCCAGGTGGCTCCAAACCCTGCCCAGCCTGGCCTGGGACACTGCCAGGGATCCAGGGGCAGCCCCAGCTTCTCTGGGAGCCTCTGCCAGGCCTCACCACTCCCACAGCCAGGAATTTGTTCCCAAAATTCCTTCTAAACCTATTTCCTTCTGTCAGTTTAAAGCCACTCCCCCTTTTCCTATGCTCCATGTCCTTGTTCCTCTCCTGTTCTCACAGGCCTCACCTGGATTATTTTTACTGCCTGAGCTTGTCCCATTGGGTTCCTCATGCAAACATCACTGGGAACATGCCAGTCCCACCAGGATGGCTCAGGAGAGTGGGATGTGACATCCATCCATGTATCCATACCTCCATCCATCCCTCTGTCCATCCCCCATCCATCCGTCTATCCATGCATCCATCCATCCATCCATCCATCCATCCCCCATCCATCCATCCATCCATCCATCCATCCATCCATCCATCCATCATCCATCCATCATCCATCCATCATCCATCCATCCATCATCCATCCATCCATCATCCATCCATCATCCATCCATCCATCCATCCATCAATCACCCATCCATCCATCCGTCATCCATCCATCATCCATCCATCCATCCATCATCCATCCATCCATCATCCATCCATCATCCATCCATCATCCATCCATCAATCACCCATCCATCCATCCGTCATCCATCCATCATCCATCCATCCATCCATCCATCCATCATCCATCCATCCATCCATCATCCATCCATCCATCCATCATCCATCCATCCATCATCCATCCATCCATCATCCATCCATCCATCATCCATCCATCCATCATCCATCCATCCCCCATCCATCATCCATCCATCCATCATCCATCATCCATCCATCCATCCATCCATCCATCCATCATCCATCATCCATCCATCATCCATCCATCATCCATCATCCACCCATCCATCCATCCATCCATCCATCATCCATCCATCATCCCTCCATCATCCATCCCCCATCCATCATCCATCCATCCATCATCCATCCATCCATCCATCCATCCATCCATCCATCATCCATCCATCCATCCATCATCCATCCATCATCCATCCATCCATCCATCATCCATCCATCCCTCCATCCATCCATCCATCATCCATCCATCATCTATTCATCCATCATCCATCCATCCATCATCCATCCATCATCCATCCATCCATCCATCATCCATCCATCCATCATCCATCCATCCGTCCATCATCCATCTCCCCATCCATCCATCCATCCATCCATCCATCCATCCATCCATCCATCCATGCTCACCTCCAGGACCCCTCTCAGCACCCCCAGAATGGCTCTGCCCATCCCCCATGGCCCCCACTGACCCCACCAAAGCCCCCAAACCTGCAGCCACGGCAGGGACAGGCTCTGAGGGAGGCTCCCAGCACCAGGTCAAACCCCAGAGCCTCCAGCTCCTGCCCCCCCGTTCCCAGAAGTGCCCCACAGGTCGGGGGCAGGCTGGAACAGCCCCTCTGCTCCTTGCTGCCCCACTGCATCCCACAGATCCTCTCCCCCCTGGCCAGGGAGCTGCTCTGAGCCTCTCAGCCCCTGCCTGGCGTGGGTTTGGAGCTGTAAGTGGAGATCCCAGGGATTTGGGTGGCATTTGTTGAGCGAGGCCAGCCTGTCCCATGGGAGCAGCCAGCTCAGGAGCTGGGCCTGCAGGGGAGAGGATGAGAAATGAGAAACCCAATCCCCCTCTTGGCTCTGCCGGGGCTTAATTTAGAGCACAGGGGCTCTGCCAGAGTGTTTTTCCATTTAAAGCTGAACTCTTCCCTTTTGTCCCGCTCTGTGCCTTGCAGGGCAGTGGCAGCTGATGGCTGGGGCTGCTGCAGGGGGGACAGCAAAGCAGTATCCAACTCAGTTCCCCTTTGCCAGCATTTCTCCCACATAAAGGGCTGAAATCCATCTCCTCCTGCCATCCCTGTCCTGCTTTGGAGCCTCAGGGAGGGTAGGAGCCACCCAGAGCCTCAATCCACAGCTCTAAATTCCCTGGGATGGGCTTTGACCCTCCCCAGCTGATCCTGTGCCCCTTGTGCAAGCAGATCCCAGGGCAGGGAGAGCTCTCCTGTGTCACTGCTGTCTACATTTAACCACCCTAGTGCAACTTAATTCACCTTACAGCCACTTTGGAAAGCTCTTTGCAGGTAAACTCCTGGCAACAGGCCCAAAGGAAAGAAGGACAGTTCATCAGAGATCATTTATGCCCAGCAGTTCAGCTGTATTTTAAAGTGGGATGCATCCATCAGGCACTTTATGCTGCTCCATGGAAGTGCTCTGCCCACCTCCAGGGCAGGAGACAGATTTTGGCTCAGCCCAAATATTTGGAGAACTCATATTTGGAGGTGAGACCTGGCTAAATCCTAACAAGGAGTGCCCATAACTAAATCCTGGCAGCAGAATTAACCTTAACTGTACCCACCAGCCCGTGCCAGAAATGTCACCTTCAGCCTGTCACCACCATCAGCTGCAGTGAGAGGCTGAAAAAACTCAGAGCTTATCAAAAAGCTGCCTGGGACACGACTTCTCACTGGATGAGGGTTGTCCCAGTGAGGAAATGCTGGGGACTCACAGTGCTTTTATCTGAGAGAGGCAAAACTATGGCTGGCTGCAAACTGGAGCCAGAGAAATTCAAATTGGAATTGAAACACAGGATTTTAACAGGCTAAAAAACCCACTGAAAGTTCCAAGGGTAGCAGGGGGTTGTGGTGATTTCATATCAGCTGTATCCCTGAAAGAAATGCACAAGTGTCCTGGGGAGGTCCTGGGGCTGAAGATCTCCAGAGTGGGGATTTTTCAGGCTGAGAGAAAAATATTGTCATTGATTTTGTTCTCTGAGTGATGGGTTGGGGTGCAGGGGGCTGCTGCTCTCAAGGGCTGCCAGGGTTTCTTATATTTAGCAAAATGCTGCAAGAAAATTGGTCTCATCCTTTGAAAACTGGGAACTAGCAAGAGCCAGCACGGGGAGAATTCAAGGCAGGTCACTCTGGGGAAGTGAATTTCAAAATCCTGAGAAGCCCTGGACATTCTCCACTCTGACAGGAGATAGATTGCACATTTCCATGAGCAGCAGCTGCTTACAGGTACAGGCTGCCTAAATAAACTGCTTTATAGTGGTTGGGTTCTTTCTTTGATAAGGCATCCAGTGATGCAGAAAAAAAAGAGAAAGTGCTTCTGTGCAGCCCCAAAAAAGCACAAAGTTAAAGAAATGAGTGTTGCAGCACTTGAGGTTTGCAGGAGAGCCATGTGTGTTCTGTGACATCCCAGTGTCCTCCCTGTGCTTCAGGGGCTGACTCAGAGCCCTTTTCCTGGAGAGAGGTTTGATCTTCACAGCTTCCCTGGGACAGGGCACAAGGAAGGGCAGCAGATGCCTCTGCTCTGCTCCTGGGAAAATATTACTGATTCACACTCCTGTGTAAGTGAAATCAGAACCTGCAGCTCCGGGTTACAGCCTGAATTTAGCAGCCACTGCACAGCACAGTCCCCACAGCCCTGCCCCTGCTCAGGCAGCTTTTCCAAGGGATCTGCTCACTCCTGCACGCCCTTAAAATCCCTACCAGAGGATCCCTCCCCTCTGCAGAGGCATCAGGATGGAGCTGAAAGCAAAGCTGTGGCTCGTCTCAACCCAGGATTTATTCCTCAGCTTGTCCAGAGATGACTGAGGGTTACAAGATGCTTTTTCCTCTGGTGCTGCTGGCAGGAAAAATATAGCAATGGATGGTCCTGCTTTTTGTGAGAGAGGCCCCTGAGAGCTGGGCTGGGCTCCAGGGCAGTGCTGGGGGAGTGGAGCAGCCTCATGAGCACAGGGAGGGTTAATTCCCTGCTAACTCCCAGGTGCTGAGCTTATCCCCAGCTCCCTGACTTCCTCCATCAGGGACTGCAGGAACTGTTTGAAAAGAGATAATTCTTGAAGAGAGACATTTCTGAACCTAAGCAGGAAAAAAAGACAGGGACAACACATCTGGAGTGACTCCTGCTCTGCTTTTTTCCACTCTGCACAGGATGAAATCCCCATGCTGGGGAAGGGAGCAGTGCTTTTCATCCCCAAAAATCCACTTTGCACTGGTAGTGCTGGCTGGGGTTGAAGCCTGACAAACTTCAGGCTCATAAAAAGAGGCTGACAAAGCAAAGGAGAAAAAGAAAAGCTTTCAAGACTTTCAAGTGAGAAACAAAGCAGCACTGTACAAAAATGCCTGGCTCTCCATTTGCCTGGAATCCCCAAGGCTGCTCTGCCCTGGCAGGCTGCATGGCAATGCCTGATTAGCTTGCACTCTGTGTCCTCACTGTGCTGCAGCAGAGAAGGACAGGCTGGCAGGGTTTGCAGCAGCTCCAAAAGTCCCAGTAGTGCTGCAGTGAAGACCTGCCTGCATTTTGTAGCATTTCCTCCCAGGGAGAACAAGATCAGCCTGACAGACGAATGCAGAGACTCAGAAACAGGGAATTCATAGCCTGGATGGCAAGTTTTGTATGGAATGAGCTGAATTTAAGGTAGGTTGACTCATTGCAGGGGTAATCTGCACAGCTTTTCAGTGGAAACTCACTGGAGTTGCAGAAAACTGCTGCCAGTATGTTCAAGCAAAGAAAGAGGTAGGAATGACGAGAGGAGCCCACCCAAAGCTGATTTGCAGATTGTCCCAGGTCAGGCTAATCCTGTGCCTCAGCACTGAAGTGCTACAGAAAGCCTGAGACAGGCAGGTAGCAGTGTGGGGATAAAAACAGAGCTTGTTTTGCTCTAAGGAAGGGGGCTGGCCTAACTTTTGTACAGCAAATTCCTTCCTGAGCTGATAAAGGCAGCAGCAGATTGAATATCGAGCCCTCCCAGGGAACATTGTGCTGAAACCTGGAAGGTTTTATCCAAAATCCCCCTGCAGAACTGCAGCTTCCCAAACTACACCCACCAGCCCCGCTTGCCAACCCTCAGAGACAGAAACTGCTGACACATAAAACCTTCACTTTTTGTATTTCATCCCTGCTTCTCATCCTCTCCTGCAAATGCTAAAGAAATGACAGGATCTGAGGCTGCAAAATGACACTGGTGCCTGGGCTCTCTCCCTGCTCTGCAGCACAAAGGACTGGGAATATCTGGATTAACTCTTCTCTGGTGCATGGTGCTGAACAGCCTGTGAAGAACTATCCCTCACTTCCTCCATTAGGACTTGATGCAGTTTAAAATCATCTCCTTGGTCTCTCTCAGGCACTCTCAGACCTTTGTTCTCATCCATCTGGAAGCCAAGACTGCGGGGAAAGAAAAGGAAAAGCCTCTCTGTGAGCTGGGGAGCTTCAAAGCAAATCGAGAACAGACAGCTCTGTTCTGGGGAAGAAACACTGAAACAGGAGCTGAGGTGCTTTGATACCAGAGCAGAGTGCAGGACAGAGTGATCCCAGCATGGAGAAAGGGAGAACATACCTCCTGCTCAGCTCCTCCTCCTGAGCTTCCCGGGGCAGCTCGGGCAGGGATGCAGAGAGCTCCTCTCTGTCACTCTCAGGCAAGGGGAGGCTGGGCTGGGCTGGAGATTCAACCACAGAATGGAGTTTTAGTGAAACAGCAAATCAGTTCTGGCAGCACGCTGAGTTATTATCCAAAACCACTGAATTTATTCTCTCAAACTATATACTTAATCTTTCAAATAAATATTTGATCTTCTCAATTCTATGTTACATCCATATCATAAATATATGACAGATTTAATTTCCTTTCAGCAAAATGAAAACATGATGAATTTGCATTCCAGGGCTAAATACATGCCTACATACGTAGGGAGGAAAACAATGAATCCAAAATATTGAAGTGACCAAAACAAGAGGTTACAAACAGCTGAAAAGGATTAATTTGATGTTAATCTTGTAATTGTGTTTCAGATTATGACAGCTGTGGCTTCCTGAGTGTCTGGGACAAAGTTTGCAAGTGGCACCCACTGAAACGACTTTTTAAAACACTTTGATCCTCAGCATAAACAAAATATAGGTTAAATGTACTTCAAGGTGTACTTCAAACCAAGGTTCTAACTCAGGAATGCTTTCCTAAGTAAAGGTCTACCCAAAACATGCAGCTCTGGTCATTCCAAAAAGAAAAAAATCAGAAATTCTTTTCAGGGTTATAGAGAAAATGTAATTCAAGTTTACAGCTGGGACTGGAGAAGCAAAATTTGTGACCAGTGAATCCCTACAGGGGAAGGAGGACCAGAGAAATGTTCAGGGAGCTCAGGAAGGAGTGCAGGAAGGGAGCACAGCTATTGCAGAGGATGCTGAACTTATCCAGCCCTGGGGGGCTGCAGGGTGATCTTTGCTGTAGATAGAAGATAGGCTGAATAATTTTAGCAAATGTAAATAAATGGCTTTTCTCAATAGCCAGCACTGCCTACCTGGAGCCAGGTAACGTTAGGGAAGGATTTGTGTGGTTCAGCCCCAAATAAATCATAAAAATCAAGAAACCAGCTAAATGAAGAAAACAACAGGCTGGAGCTGGCTGCAGTCCTTTTAACTGGGAATACAGCACCAGGACAGGGAACAGCCAGGCTGGAATCTGTGCTGTGCTCCTACTGAGCATTGCAATTGCTGGTTTGTGCTGGTGTTGTCATGTTGGCACATTTCTGTGCCCTTTTCCCAATTCATATCCCTCACAACATCAAATATCTTCAAATAAGTACATTTGGTATTAAAAATATAAACACTCCTTGTGTAGAATTATCTGGTTGGAGAGTACTGAACTCTGACAAAAACAAATGAGAAGAAAAGGCTGCATTGTACAGCTAAAAAATGCTTTTGATCTTGAGGCTGTGCTTTACAGAGCTGAGGAAAACCTGCTGTTACTTACCTATCCCTCCTCTGGGATTATTCTTTGATAATTTGGAATTCGGATAAAACAGGAAAAAAAGCACAGAAAATTAAAAGCTTGAATAATTTTAAAACACAACTGGGTTGTTTGCAGCTCCTTAGCATCATTATCTACTTCCCTTGGATTGAAGAGACCAGAAACATTAGACTAGCAATTAGATCAGCTCTCTACAATTTTGCACTTTGAGAAAGAAAGGAAATATTATGTTAATTAGCAGGTTCTCTAGTCTCTATTTTGTATTCAAGCTTTTCATTTCTTCTTATTTCCTCAACCATTGTCATGAAAGCATTGAGATAACCTCCATGCTCTGCTGAAGAGGTGTACTACAGACTTGTAGGCTTGGTTCTTGTACAAACTCCAGTTTTGGCACATCACAAAGCTCTCATCAAAGCAGGGGAGTGAAATAGATTGTTACCTACTCATCTGGTGGATTTAGAGAGGATTTCTCCTTATTGGCCTTACTGCCAATCCTTTTCTACTTTTGCTTCTAGTCCTTAAGCAGAGGAGATTAATGAACTAAATATTTAGTGAGAAGGGATCTGTCTCTGGTGAAAACAGCTTCTTCCTCTGACTATGAAATGCCAGCTACCAGGGGAGTTACTAAAACTTTACTACAGCACAACAAAACTTGACCAAAAAGCCTCAGGATCTGGAGAGTTTGTCTCTCTTGGAGCTTGCAAGGGGAAGATTTGGTAACAGAACATATCAACACTTCCCCAGGTTGTGTAAAAGTCTGAGCCCTCAGAAACTCAGTTAAGTTCTGTACAAAACAGCACCAAAATGATCCCACATTTCTGGGATCTAAATGTTTCTGCTCTCAGTTAATGCAGGTGAGACAACTCTAAGAAACAGTGCTCATAAAAAAACCACATGAGAATGAGTCAGTGTGGGCTGGAGCCCCTTCCAAGGACACAGCAATCCTGCTCTAAGGAACAAATCCATGTTTTACAGAGAGGAGGAGGTTTGAAGCAGCCATTCAGTGCCCATTCAGCATCAAGGTCCCTCTGAAAGGCTCATCCAAGGTCTCTGATGAGCCCTGTGGTCTCTCTGGTCACCTTAATTCAGCCTGACACCACCCCAACATTTGCCAAATTGAAATTCCCCTCCCTGCTACTCATCTTCTGGCATTTGAAGTCTTTTTACTTTATGAAAATACACATAAAAAGGGAAACCACTGGAAAATTTTCCTTAAGAATATGTGCCATTTTATTGGTTTAGACACTTTACAGAATCAGAGTCCTTAAGCAATAAAAGGATCTGATCAGGGAAATAAAAATTTAACACCCACCATGAATTCTTCTTCTTTAACTATGCCAGGGAGGCTTTCATATTTATAGCAGGAGATTATCACGTTCATGGGATAATAAATTACACCAGATCTAATTACTTCATCACCAGCAATAGTTTTTCATAGGCACTGACAGGCCTTAAATTGGGATATGTCCTTTAATTCTGCTCTTAACCTTCAGCTGAATCCCTCAGGCTCGAGTGCAAGGGGAGCTGTGGGCAGCACGGAGCAGGGAAAAGCTTTTTCCCTGGAGTTATCCCATGGAAACACGCTGCAAAAATCCTGCTCCCACTCAGAGCTGTGGGAAAACCCTTTTCACTGAAGAAGGGCCAGGATTTTTCCTGCTGCCTTGCTCCTGGCTCTGAGCAGGTCCCATCACCACGTGCAAGCTCCAGCCCTGGGCTGTGTTTGGCAGGTGGAGCCCGAATTTTGTCGCTGTCTATAAAGGCCAGAGGTGAAATAGGGGACGTGGCTGGGGCTGAGGGCTCCCCTTCACCTTTTCTGCTCCTCAGGGCAAGCTCCTGTGCACTTGTGCTGCTCCCTGCATCCACCTGCAGCTTTTCGAGCTGCTGTTCCAAGCTGTCACTCTGCCACTCCTCTTCCTGGAGCTTCTTCTCAGTTTCCAAGATGTTGTTGCTGATTTCCTCCACCCTGACAGGCAAAAAAAAAAGAGTTCAGCTCATTTGTGTCACGTCTACATCAAATCTATCTTGGTACTGAATCCTGCTTCTTCCTGCAGAGCTCCCAACAGAAGGGAAAGAACTTTCTGTGCATCCAAAGGCAGAAATCCCAGTGAAAATGTATCAGGTGACATCTTCTAAATATGCAAAAGAGAATTAACTAATGAGTACAGCTGGAAACAATGGGTTTGTTTGCTCAGATCCCTTAATTCTGGCTCCCTGTGTGAATTCACCCCTCAGATGAGCAGGAAAGCTGCAAATTGATGAGGAGTTTTATTACAGGAATAATAAACTGAATTTTTTGGAAGGCAAATAGTTTATAAAAACACCGTCTAAATTTGCATCAGAGAGGAAGAAAAGAAACTTCTGCTTTTATTAAACTTGGCAATTAGACATGACCATGGATGGGAGATGGTGGAAAAGAAACTGGTGGTTACATCCCAAAAAAGCAAATTGCCTCTCTCCATCCTGAATAACATCTCAGAAAATTAACTGCAAAAATCTGATGCTGCCAGTAGGGACCGACACCAAGTGACTCCAAGGGGTTTAAAGCTAAAAGCAAACACAGATTGACTCACTGGACTGGACTGAATAAGAGAATTTCCCTCCTGACCCCACAGGTGGAAGCTGGCTACTGTCTGAATTGAGCCTTGATTAGTTTATTTCCCTCCTAGCTGGCATAACTAAAAAAAAATATTACAACTCTAATAAAATTATACCACTGGCTTAAAAATGTGGCTACAGGCAAGACTTGACCTCCTGTGGCAGTGAATTCCCAGGCTGGTGATGTGCTCTGAGACATTTTATTCCTCTCAGTGGTTCTGCATTCACTAAACTTTCATTTGACCCTGGTGTTCCTCTGGCATCCACTTTACACAAAAACTGGAGGAAAAATGGCAAGATCTGAGGGATTTTTTAATGGAATCATCTGCCAATAGGAATAATTTAAACTAAAATGCTGTAGAAAAATCCCACTTATAACAATCCCCAGGGCTCTTCTCTTGATTTAAACATTATCTGTGTTACCTGAACTTTGTTACACCCCAGCAGTGGAGGGAAGAGGAGGAAAAATCTGATTTTTAAAAATATATTCATGTTGAAATCTGACTGGTGCTATATTACCCTGAGGTCTTCCAAGAGTTATTGCACACAAAATTTATGTTACCTGCTTGATAAATGTGTGATAACTGTGGAGCTGCTGAATCATCAGTTTATGGCACATTTTACAAGCAACTGTGCATTTCATTGACTCTGTTTTTCATTATCCCATATTGGTGGCGGCCACACTTCAGTTACCACTCACAGCCCCATCCTCATCTGACTGCAGAGCTCTGTTAAAGTCACTGGGCTTACAAACATTAAAAAGATTTTTCCCAGCATGTATTTCCAGAATTTAGCTTTAAAAGCACCTTTCCCACAGTTCTAAAAGAAGAAAAAAAATCTGTTTTTTTCCTGTGATTATTCATACAGGATAAAAGTTATTATACAAGTGAGAATGACAACTGTGGTAAATTCAAACAAGCAAACAGTGCTTATTGTATTGATAAGCACATAGACAGGAATATACTTCTAATATTGAAATACAGATTTGAAAATCAAATAACACATACTGGGAAAAAAAAAAAAAAACAATAGCTGAAAGGTTTCCAAAAAAAAAAATTACCTCACTTTTCCCCTCTCTCCTAAAACATGGTTGGCTTTTAACATCATCTTACCTTGAATTGAAGTATAGAAAGTAAATTTTTAAAAAAAATCACTGCTATGCCTCTGTTAAACCAAAATAAATTCATTTAGAAAAGGATACAATGAAACTTAAAAAGGAATGTGAAAAGCTTTGGAAGAGAATATTATAACAATAATTACAGTATTTACTACTGCTGCCTCAATAAGGCCATGCATGTATAAATACAGCAATTCTGGTTTTATCTAGGTGCAGCAAGCTGGAAGATGGCTCCATTTTTTTCTGCCCTTTGTTCTAAAAGAATAATAAAAAGAATGAATCATCAGCCAGGCAGGGAAATTGAGCAGAAAAAATTGAAAACCCCCTATTTAGGGCAAGGATGGCAGCGTGTGATGTTCTGTAGTGCACGTCCCAGACGCTGCAGTGCCCCTGAGCCCAGCACCCCACAAAAGATGCTGCTGGGATGAGGCTGTACCTTTTCTCCAGCACAGCCACCAGCTCCAAGAGCTTTTCCCTCTCTGCTTTGGCAGCCTGGCACAGAGCACTTTGCCTTTTGATCTGTCCCAGCAGCGCCTCCCGGCTGGAGCTGTCCGTGCCAGCAGACCTGAGGGAAGCACAAGCACAGAGAGCCTGGTTCCCACTCCTGAAATGAAAGGAACGAAACAAAGCAGCGTTTGAGCACTAACTCCAATACACGTGTCTGAAGGTGAAGGCAGGATGCAGAGCCAGGCTCACCACCTCCCCCCAGCACCCATCTCTAGGCTGCAATAAATACCACCGAAATATTTGGATATAGAGTCACAGGGAGTGTCATTAGAAAGATGCTTCCCTTCCCCATCACCCCTGAAAACAAACTTCCATCTCTGATCAATTCATTACTCCTGACTCTCCTCCCACTGCTGCTGCCAAAGTAAAGGGAGATTGTATTTCCCAAGTGTTACACTGAACTATTAAATGCCCTGCTATTGATTTTCCCCCTCTGAAAGGCTTCAGGCAGCACTTGCACAATGGCTGTTCTTGTGTCCAAAATGTGCTGAAAGGAAGGAGCAGTTTTCCCATGCATCCCATTATTATGTAGTTCATTACTTCTCTGACCTCTCTGCTTTCAGGAAGACCTTCTTTAGAACAGAAAAAGCAGGAGAAATCTTGGTGGTTGGGAGCAAAAAGATCGGTGTCAAACAAGCAGTCAATTACAATATTAAGAGAGAAATCAGATGTTAGAGCTCTCAGACAGCTTCAGGTAGGAGGGATGGTGCAGGAAGCTTTCATTACAGAAGCAAGGCAGGCAGAGCAAGGATTCCCAGCAGCTTGCAGAGCATGGCAGAGCACTTTCCTTGCTGAAAATGAAGTTTATATACCCACCTTCCAGGTGGGATGAGGAAGAAAGGCTCTGTGGCTGCTGACTCCACAAGCACGTGGCCCATCGCAGACACTGTGCTGGGGGGAGGAAAGCTGTGTTAGGGGCTTCACACAGGGCAGCCTTCCCAGAGCTCCAGTCCTTTCCCAGGGGCTGTGTTTTGTAGGGAAAAACTCCCTCACCTCACACCTTCACCCAGCACTGGGAGAGGCAATCCCAGCTCTGTGCAGTTTGCATGTCACAGATTTCCCTAACAAAGCGACCCCTGCTCTGCAGTGCAGGGCACGACTCGTATTTCCCAAAAATATAAAAATATATTTCATACAGCTTTATGAAATCTGCTTTGTGAAAACCCTCAGGAAGATCTGTCAGGTTCATTGCTGTAAGAGGAGGAGCCAGCTGATAACACTGGAGTTATCGCTGCCAGCCTGGATGAGTTTTATGGATAATGACGTGTGCTTGGGACACTCCATTTAGGAGTTTGTGTGTGTTTGGGACACCCCATTTACCTCTGTGTGTTTGGGACACCCCATTTCAGTGTGTCTTTCATTGGGACACCCCATTTCAGTGTCTGTGTGTTTGGGACACCCCATTTCAGGAGGTATTTGTTTGGGACACCCCATTTAGGTGTGTGTGTGTTTGGGACACCCCATTTCAGGTGTGGGTGTTTGGGACACCCCATTTCAGTGTGTGTGTGTGTTTGGGACACCCCATTTCAGTGTGTGTGTGTTTGGGACACCCCATTTACCTGTGTGTGTGTGTTTGGGACACCCCATTTCAGTGTGTGTGTGTTTGGGACACCCCATTTCAGTGTGTGTGTGTTTGGGACACCCCATTTCAGGTGTGGGTGTTTCTTTGGGACACCCCATTTCAGTGTGTGTGTGTTTGGGACATCCCATTTACCTGTGTGTCTGTTTGGGACACCCCATTTCAGTGTGTGTGTGTTTGGGACACCCCATTTCAGTGCGTGTGTGTTAGGGACACCCCATTTCAGAGTGTGTTTCTTTGAGACATCCCATTTCAGTGTGTGTGTGTTTGGGACACCCCATTTAGCTGTGTCTGTGTTTGGGACACCCCATTTCAGTGTGTCTTTCTTTGGGACACCCCATTTCAGGTGTGGGTGTTTCTTTGGGACAACCCAATTTCAGTGTGTCTGTGTTTGGGACACCCCATTTACCTGTGTGTTTCTTTGGGACACCCCATTTCAGTGTGTGTGTGTTTGGGACACCCCATTTAGCTGTGTCTGTGTTTGGGACACCCCATTTAGCTGTGTCTGTGTTTGGGACACCCCATTTCAGGTGTGGGTGTTTGGGACACCCCATTTCAGTGCGTGTTTCTTTGGGACACCCCATTTCAGGAGGTATTTGTTTGGGACACCCCATTTCAGTGTGTGTTTGTTTCCTCAACACAAATTCAGCTGCCCAAAGCCAAGTCCCTGCAGACTCACCCCATGTTTCCTTACTTTAGCTGTAGCTAACAAGAGGATAAAGCCTTAATTTTGTGGAAGTGACAGATGTGCCTTCTGGGCTAGGAGTGGGTAATCCTAAAATCAAGTTAAGGTTCATACTGACAGCCTTGGCCCAGTCTAAAAATGCAGATTTTTACTCTGCCACCTCCAAAACGTTTAGCATCTATTTATAGCATTTTTCATTTCACCTTTTCTGACAGGAAAAGATGATTCACTACAGCCAAACAGAATTGAGAGTTCATCAGCATATTAAAGTTAATGGAAGAAGTGAGCCTTGCTGGCCAAGTTATTAACAGCTCTCAGAGTTTTTCAGGATCATTCATTGCCCACCTGACACGTCAGCTCTTTCCACTACAGAGCCCTTGGCCCTGTACACAAGCAATAATTTATGCATTGCACTTAGTGGTTTCCACAAAGCCATTACCCAGCTTTGGTTCCTGTTGCCATCAGCAGACATGTGAGGTAAAAAAAAAAAAAGGGGATAAAATATAAATTTGCTCCAGGAGAGCACAACAACTTCTGCAGAATTAGAAGGGAGTGAAATTAAAACAGTCAGAAGGATGCAGAAACTTTTAAATTAAGGATGTTTTAATACCAACTCAAAATCATAGAATTATTCTTATATTTTATAGTAATGCTTTACTTAGACCCAGAGATACTCACCTGATTTTAAAGCCAAATTGGGTGTCTAAAGTAATGAGGGAGGAAATTACACAGAAGAGATCAGTTGTAACTTTATCTTGATGAAAAATTTCCCTCATCCCCATCAGACCAGTCTCAAATTCTCACTATCAATTAGACTATGAACTCTTTAGCAACAAACTCAGCAGAAAATTAACAGGAAAGGATATAACTTGCAGTGGTACCATGGTCCCTTTACACAGCCAGAGTGACCCAGAGTCACATCAGTGTAAACAGAAATCAGATTTATTGCTGCACTAAGATTAGTGTAATTTACACAGTCCTCAGCAAGGCTTTAAAGAGGGTGTTTGGTAAGAACAAATGATGTGGTGTGTTTTCAACATTTCTGCATGTAAATCCTACTCAAAGAGCATTTATTGATTTAAATAATGCACCAGTGATTTAATGCTTACCTAAAATGGCACTTTGCATTCACTCCCCACCCTGCTCACAGAAATCTGCTCGTTAGAAGCCCCACGTCTCATAAGGGAAAAGACTCCCAGGCACTTCAGCTGACCACATAAACATTATCTGAGCTGCAGGAGGAGAAATAGCTGCACTACCACCATGCCAAATCTAGTCATTTCTACAAGTCTGTACATCCTTCTCAGTTCCAGGACAAAAGTCCAAGAGATAATGTGATTAGAGATTCCCATATATTGCAAACAGGCTGCCACAGCTGTTGGCACAAAGCACTTGTGGTTGGATGAAAATCCCTGGGAAAACCAAGCTCCTGGATTACTCAAACAACTTGAAATATTGACTTTCTGATTTTCTTACCAGGCAGATTCTGTCCTTCCAGCTCTGCTGCTGCCTGACCCCTCAGGTGATCCTGAGTGCTCAGAGCATGGTGGATGAGCAGCTCCTGACTTGTCCTGTGGATGGGCAGATGTCTTCTGTTAATGGTGGAGCATGTTATAAAACCAATTATGTAGTTCAGAGGAAAACAGCTGCACCAATGCCAAATCAGCAGCTTTTGATCATTGCTACAAGCAAGCCAGAACTTTTGATTTACAGGACTCTGCAGAAGCTTTGCTTTAATTCCCATCCATTGCAAGATGAAAACAAAGCAGAAGTCAGTAAAAAGGGCAGTTTCATATGAAATCAGAGTGCATTAGTAACCCACAGGGCAGCAGCATCACTGCCAGTACAGCAGGTTTGTGTCCCTAACCCAGGTTTGATCCTGACATCTATGCTCCAGCACCCATTCCTGAGATATCTGGCAGATTCACAACCTCACCACAACCCCAGGAGGGCTTTGGATCAATGGATGGGATGCCCAAATACTCTTCACAAATCCTTCCTGGGAGACAGCAGCAGCTGCTGATGATGTGACACATTTGTTTGCTTCCTCCTTCCAGCAGCCAAGGGTGCTGAGCACTGGGGAGTCCCCAGTGCAGCCCCAAATCCTGCTGTCAGGCCATGTGTGGATGTGATTGGTATCTCTGTGTTTGCTGCTGCTGAAACAGCCTCAAGTTATGCACAAAGGAACTGAGAAGTACAAAGAGAATTCCTGCTTTATCATTCCAGGGATATCAGCAGGACAGGGATCACTGTCTGGAGGCAGCAACCATCCCAGATAAAAAGGACAAGGAAGTGGAAGAGCAGATCTAAAGTGATTACCAAGTGTGCTCCTCTAATTAATTTGTTTACCTACCTGAAGTATGAGCTGCCCAATCTCCTTCTCCAGCATTTGAACCTTTCTTTCTCTGTCAACCACCAACTTGCTGAGCTCATCTATCAGGGTGCCTTTTTTCTGAATCTCAGGCTCCAAGTGCTGCCCCATCATCTCCTGAGACCCCTTGTTCACATCCTCCTTTTGGCTCAGGCCCTTTAAGATCTCCTGCATTTGCTTCTGCTGGCTCTGGTAAAATAGAAACAGGTGAGATCTTTATTTTGTACACAATAATTATTTTAAACCCCCCCAAGATAAATACCCATTTAGGAATGGTAGGGAAAGCCCCTGCCCTGCCAAGCCCATTCCACTGGTGCCACTTTGGCAATGTTATTTGTTATGTTGATCTGAGCTATGGTCAGATTCAATTTGCTGCCAGCTCTGCTGCTCAGTGTAGCAGAAAACAGAGCAAGAAAGGCTGGCCTTTGATAAAGAAGTGACTTTTTCCATAAAATGAATGAAACTCAAGATTTCAATGTGCTTTTTGTGGAATTAGAACATGATCAGATCATGTGATAGTAATATTAAAAGCTGAGGGTACTGTGGGGTGACAGATACAAGGCCAGGCTGCTTCACCAGTATTTTGGAGGTTTTTTCCACACTGACAAATCTAATACCTGTCAGGCAGTTTGTTCTGTCAGGCCAACAACCTGCAAGTAAAGTGCTTTTGTGATAGAAGGGATAAAAGAGATTAACCATCCCTTCCCAAATAAACTCGCATCTTTCTGTACTAATTTTAGTAGGAATACTCAGAAAAAGTGACAAGTGTTTTTTGGTTCCCCTAATCTGCTGGTCAGCACCCACAGTGCCTAGTGGGAGAAGGGTGAATGCTAGCTGAGCTAAAACCCACTCACAGCAGCAGGGAAATCTGAGTGGTTTGAAACTAGTGAGGAGCTGGATCAGGAAACACAGAATTAACCCTGCTAGGAGGTGGCATATTCTCTACTATATTTGCTATTTTAATTGAGGAAGGCGGCTTAGAACCATGGCAGGACCATGACAGCAGTTATTTGTTTTTCTCAGCATCTTTGAGCCTTTGTTAAAACTCTTGGTTTTGAAGAGGCCAAATCCTCTCAGCTACTGAATGTGAGTGTGCACATGGTTTAGTGCTCGTGGTTCAGCTTGTGTGTTGTGGGCTGTGCAACAAAATAAATGGAAGTTTTGTTACAAACAAATAAATTCCTGCAGGACTGCAGGCATTCTAAGGGAAAAAAAAATCTGCCAGGGCAGCTGAAAGCAGAACAAAGAGCACAGGCCAGCACCTTGGGTCAGGACTGAAGCCCTTTCTCTACCTACTTCAATCCTTCTGCAAAATGTTTCTGCCAGTCCCTGCAGCTCAGGGCATTTGACTGTAACTGGCACACCTGGTGCTGTCTCACAGCCCTTCCATGACCTGATCCAAAATGCAAAAGGATTTCAGCTGACAGAGAAGCCTCTGGCTGTCACAGCTGGATCCATCAGGCTCCTGTGCACCCTAAGGTGGTGTGTGCCATGAAAGGACATCATGTTTTATCACCTATAGAAACAGGGCTGGGACCAACACAGACTGTACCAGCAAGGCATCTATGAGCTCATCATCGTGTTTCCCTTTCTCCAGCAAGGTTCCAATCTGTCCCTTCAGCGTCCTCACTTCTGCACAGAGCATTTGGTTCCTGGCTTTTGAGGCATCAAGTTTCTTTTTCAATTCCTCATGGTTTTTTTGGAGAGTGCTGTGTTGCTCAGAGAGTTTCTGCAGTGATGTAAAAGGAAATGAAAATTATAATTTATCACCAAATAAAGCAAAAAGAATCACACATTCCCTGGTAGATTCTAAAAAATGGGACTGGAATACTGTATTATTCCTAGGGAAGCAGAAATTATAAATGCTATTTGCTGCCTGCTTGCCAGCAGGGTCTGTCTGCTCAGGAATCCAGGTGGTCTGGGTTGATTTGCCGTTTTTCTGGATTCTGATTCTCCATTATTCTGTTCAAATGGAGAAGGCAGAGCCCTACAGACACAGGAGGTGTGAGAGGATGTCTGTGTTTGGGATGAAGAATGCACACCTGGCCAAGGGGTGACAGGGCTGCTAAGGAGTTTGGGGACAGCTGTAGCAGGGCTTGGCTGTGAAGTGGGGCAGAGCTTCCTCTAGCAGATCAGGTGGGTTTGTGAAATGGTTTTGGGTAGGCTGTAAACACCCTGAAGGCAGGACAGGTTATTACACAGCGCTCCACACCCAAACAGAACTCTGTCAGCTCACAGGATTCTACCTCCAAAGATTCCTTCTTTTCTTTTTCCAAGCTGCGAATCTTCAGCAAGTTCTTCTCTTGGACTGACAACTTCCTTGGATCAGGAAATGCCAGCAATCCCTCATCCACCTCAAGCAGTGAAGCTCTGATTTTTTGATGACTCAGTTTATGCTCCAGCTCCTGAACCTATGGCACAACAACGACAACTCACCCAGAGCTTTACCACAGGTACAGGGCAAAGAGGACACAGCCAAAGGCAGCTCAGATTGTTTCTTGATATTTTCATGGTCAATTAACACTAGCAGTGTCTGGTTTTTCAAATTGAAATTAAGCTGCTAATAAACATGCAGATTTTAGGGCATCTGTGCAGGATGGAGATGTGGGATATGTGGGAGCTCTGTGCCTTTGTGGAACCACATTTGGAGGCCAGACAGGCACTCCAGAGCATTGGAATTGCTGCTGTGTGAATCCAAGGGAACTCAGCTTGTCAAATGCTCACTGCAGGCTGCTTTCATAGGCAGCAGAAGGAGCTGGGCACTGCCACAGCTCAGTTCCTCTGCCCTGCATTGGAGGAACCTGCCCCACTTTTGATCCAGTGACTGGATTTACAAGATCCCCACTGACTACAGAAGGGGCCTGAGGAGTCTGGATCAAAGAAATCTGTACCTTCGAGCAGAGAACAGCAGGAACAGTGGTCAGATGAACCCCAGGCAGGGATAAAACAGGGGGAAATGGAATTTGCTCAAGGGAAAGCAAAGGTTAAAAGTCTCAGAGTGAAAAAAAAATCACAGTTTGATGGCATATAATTGAACAGCAGAAAAATAGGAAAATTACATATCAAATTTCCCGAGAGAAGTTTTATTTAGATGCAGACAAAACTGCCTCTCTGCCTCCTGCTGACATTTCAGCTAAGCTCTGCCCTTCACAAGACTCAAGAGTTAAAGATTTTACTGAAGCTCCCGAGGGAACAACTTGAAAGCCTGATCTGGCCTCAATTCTTCCCATCTGACTCCAAGCTCTGAACAAAGGTGTCTAAGTCAGAGCACAGACACTGACAGGGCTCCTTCTGTTCTCAGTGGAGAGAGAGGCACCTTCAAAACACCCTGGGACTTGAACTAGGCTGCCACAGCTCTCCAAGGTCACTGAACTCCTTCCTTTGACACAGATGTGAAAGATTCCCAGCTGGAATACCAAAGCTTGCAGGGCTGCAGAGTCATTAACATGGTGTGCACACATTGACAAAGAGATGCTAAGAATTAATGAAGAAATAACAGTGCTTTTACCTTAAACGGAGGTGATAACTCTACTTAGAAAGAGAATTCCAGCTGAAAATGGCACCTTGCAGGGTTGTAACTCACCTTGGTTTGGAGAAGAAGAATTTGCTGAGCTCGTCCACGCCAGTTGCCAGAATTGGCCATGAGATTTTGGATATTCACATCTTCCCCAACTTCTTTGGCTAAAATCTGGGAAAAAGGATTAATAATAAGGATCAACAGTAAGGCTTAAAAGGATATGTTGGGGAGAGGGAAGGAAAAGCAGATCTCTCTAACAGGGAACACAAGCAGTTTTCAATATACACAGATATTTTTGATATGATGAATATTTACCCATAATTAACCAGGAGCAGAGTGGATATATTGTTTTCATACACACCAGGAGTTGAACCAATCTCCCTTGCAAAATTCTGACACAGCTAAACTTAGTATGAAGAGCATTTAAATTATTTATAAAAAGGTCAGCAGAGTTCTATTTTTAGGATCACATTCTCTATTCTGATCTGCATTGCAGGTCTCCTACACAGAGGAGGGAAACCAAAGAGAATCAGAGCACATAATAACACTTAAATCCATCATGAATCAGAGGGAAAGGTTATTCTGGATGTCATTCCAACAAACTCTTTAAACACATGCTTTAGTTCAAACATGACCTTTAATCCCACTGATTCACATGGGACTGGAACCTACATTAAAAGTAAATACATAATTAAATGTATGGGAAAAGAGGAAAGAACCTGGATCTATGTCACAAACAGTTCTGCTGATCTGGAACTTTAAAATTCAGAAGGATTTGTGTCCAATGGACAGCTGGAGGCAAAATATGAGATCCCTGTGCCCAGGAGCACAATTTCAATTCCAAACCCATTCCTGGTATCTTCCTCACCTCCCTGCTCCCCTGGAACAGCTCATGGGGGCCAACCAAAGGCCAAAACCCTCCCAATTTCCCAAGCCTGAACCTCCTGCAGTGGTCCCAGCCCCACACTGCTCCCTGCAGTGGTACCTTTTGGGTCAGCTTCAGTTCCTGTTTCAGATTCTGGAGCTGGTTCCGATATTCTGTCACTTTTACGTTGGCTGTGCTCAATTTTTCTTGCAGTGCTTTCACCTCTGGATTTTCAGCCTTGGAGGAGAAGAATGCACTCGGTGAGAACAGAACCCTCAGGGAAAAATTGAAGTGATTTACATCCATGGATCCATCAGGACCACTGAATTTTTTTTTCCAGACCTAATTTTTGGGCCATAGAGGAGGTATAGGGGAATTTGGTCCCAAAAGTGGTGACAGGGATACATCCTTGCTCTACAAAGGAGCTGATTTCCTCATTTCAATTACAATTCCTACCAAGTTTCCTTCCAGCATTTTCAGAGTTGATTCCTTGATTCCTGCAGCATCACCACCAAGGGAATGGATTTTTTCTGTGGCTGCCTGGAGCTGGAAAAGAACCTCATTGTTAGTGTAGAATGGATGCAGAGAACAGCATCAATCCATGGAGCATTAATTAGCAAAAAAGTATAACTTGGATGTTTATGTACTCTAAAACAACAAAAAAAACCCCCCTTAATTTTCCCTTGTTTTTTTAACACAATCAGTAGGAAAGCATAATTCTTTTTTTTCTGAAATGCTTCCCAAAGAGTTACATTTTACTGTGGAATAACTTCAGAAGATGTCTTTGACTTGCTGAGATGGGATAAAATTTCAAGTATGGAGACTTCTGAGGCATTTTATCACCAAAAGTACCTCAAATTAATGTTTATATACATAAATCCAAAACAAGCCCAGAATATTTCATAAAAAGCAAACAGTACTCAACAAAGGAATATAAAAGGAGAACTCTACCTGACACCCTGAAACTGAGTGGTGTTAAGGCTCTTTTTCTTTAGTTAGGAGCTCTAAAGCAGCATTTTTTTAACTGCTTTAAATAACTTAATTTATTATTTAGGAATAAAGACTCTGTCTCTGCTTGCTTGCCACAGCAAAGGAAAACGGACATACAACCCCTCCTGCTCTGAATTATGCCCTATGTTGGTGTTGCAGAGATTTCTAAATGGATGAGAGTGCAGAAATTTGGGGCTGGAAAGGCCAGGAAGTGTTGCTCTAAAAGTTTGGGACTTCATTATTTGAGGTGGGTGGACAATCTTGATTATTTGCCTGAATTAAAGAAGGCTCTAAGGCAGAGCTCCTTCATTAAATGGGGCATCTGGGGAAAAACTCAGAGGCAGCTCTAGCTGAGCTAAAGGCTTCTGACTTTAAGACTTTAAAACTTTAAGACTTCTGACTTTCACCCTTTTTCGTGGGTTAGGATCAGTCTTTCTATCCAGTTCATAAAGTTTTGTAGTTAATGAACTGATAATGAGGAATTTCAGCTGGAGCTAGCAGCTGCTGGCTCCAGTTCTCAGGAAATTTTCTGCAAACATCCCTTTGCTTACGTGGTCCACGCTTTGCCAAGTGATTGTTCAGTGGCCACACCTTCCATTCTGTTTAGGGGAACATAATAATGGTAAAATACTTATCATTCACAGATTTTTCAGTTTTTATGCAAGGAAAGAGCTAAAAATATGTAAAATAACAGTGTTTTCTATCTACCACTCTACATTTTTGGTAGATACCTCCCAGTGTCAAACACTGCTTTCATTTTACACATAATTTACATCATCTTCTTCCTGAAATGTTTGTGCTCCTTTCTTTTTGTGCCAGAATCCGAGAAGATTTAATTTTTGTTTGAATAATGGTCATTACACTTCTGCAGTAGGGGAGAGGAACCAAGTTGATTTTTCCTTAAATTATTCATGAACTGCTTCACTATTTGTGTGATTTTGTAGGTCCCAAACTACACCTGTGACTTGTTTGCCAACCTGCCAACTATTTGACAAGACCCCTGTGACCAGAACACTGTGGATTTATGCAGAAGTTCTCAAAAATTTAATTTAATCTATGACTTCTTGATCTTTCAGGTAGCTGGGGGGAAATTCAGGTAGACGTATGACTCATGATAATAAGTGATGGTGAAAGACTGAGTCAAAATGCATCTGTCAGCATTATTGATTCATTTAACTGATGTCTTCTAAGAAAGCAAAGTTCAGAAAAAAAATTTAAAGCTATATTAAAAAATCACCAATACTGTGTAAGGAAGAGGAGCAGTAGCCAAAGGACAAAGCAAATATTGACATCAGGACATCTCATTTTCAATTCAGCAGCCACCTGAGTAAAATTACTTCTGTGAAAGGCTGGCAAAAAGTCACAGCAAACCAGAAAATTTAATCTGCCCGAGTGAAGATTTGCTGTCTTATATTACATAGTTTGGTGTTGTCTCAGTTCTGTAAGTACTTATTCCAGAAAACAGCTTTCATTATAGGGATAACAAAAGCTTAGAAGAATAAAGAACTAATTACTGACTGGTCTTAACGAGGTGGGAATGTAAGACATAAAGGTGTGAAACTTACTTCTCCTCACCAAAAATAAATAATAAGAGAAATAGCATTGCCAAACTGGTAGAAAAGTCTCTGTGCTTCTACAAGTGAACATTCCTAACTGCTGTTTGATAAATCCTTGGCTCATTGCAACTTGGGGATATCCTTTCCTAGCTCCTCCTGACTGCAGAGGTGAAACAGCTGAGGGAACACCTCATGGACAGAATTGAGCACAACCCAAAGCAAACACAGATTTAAGAGCAAATTCGACATGGGAACATGAACAAAACACATTTTCTATCCCAGAGGCTGGGCTGCCATGTTTTATTGTGCAAAAAGAACAAGAAAAAATGCCTCACTTCTCTCTCCAGCTCCTTGACTCTGTGATTCAGCTGCTTCACTTTGGCTCTCTCGCTCTCAAACTCAGCAGTGACCTCGCGGTTCTTTTTGGCCAACTCAACGATTTTAGTGGCAGCCACGTCTCCAGCTAAACCAGACACCCCTGCAAAGAACACATCAGAGCAGAGGGCACAGCTTGCAGGCAGGATTCAGAACAAACCAGGCTTTTGTTCTCTGTCACAATGCACTTCCATTGTCCTGTCCCTTCCTCTCTGAGCTGTGCCAGGCACTTAAATGAACAAGTGAGGGAAGAGATGTCAGAGGTGCCAGCTGGATGGGTTGGTCCTTTGATTCTGCAGCACACCAGGGCCACATTTCACACTGTGGCAACAGCCACATGTCACAGGGCCACAGCAGTGGTCGTAGCAACATTATTACCTAGAGAGGGCAGTGGTGTTTCCTGCTCACTGCTGGGAACAGGATTTTTTTGGTATTATCACAGAAAAAGGCAACACTCTGCTTTGCCTGGTTGTTTACTACTGGAGGAGCTGCTGGGACAGAGGTGTGAACATTTCTAGACATCAGTCCTCAAAGGTCAGGCACAATATTACAGTTGGGTCCTGGACAAGGTCCAGGAAATTTCATTGTGCCTATTTATAACTCCCTTGGGATCACACAGGGAGCTTTACTGGATGACTCTTTTAATTAGCCACGTCACTGGCTCCCTCATCAGGGAGGGTTTGATTAGTGCCACAAACAAATCAAACCCCAGACCTGGCTGCTGTGTCACCTGGCTCTGATTAAAAGCACACAGGTGAAGGAAAGCTCTTGTACATGAGCAAAATCAATGTCATGGCAAACAACGTCCACAGAAAGCTCCAGCTCAGCAAGGAACATGAGCCTGCAACAACAAACCCTTGGTGGGACGTGTGAAGACTGAACTTGGCTGCTGTCATTCCTCTTAACTCTTTCATCCTCCTTCAGAGCTCTGCAGTAATCACTTTTCTCTGATATACATTATATTCACTTATACAAGTGAATAGTGAGGCTCATATACCCCCAGAGACATTAATGGGGCTACACAGAACACAGCTGAGAACAGAATTTGTTCCTGTGACACTATTTAAAAAACATGTAAAGAACATAATTTATTGTTTTAAAGGAATTTATTTTAAAAGCATTTAAAATGCTTTTTTAAAAGCACTTAAAATCAATTCATTATTTTTAAAAGCACTGTTCTCACTCCTTTGTGTGATTTATGTTACCCCTCCCACCTAGGAGCTACTTTCACCTCAGTTTTCAGGATAAATAACGGCAGCTGAGAATCACAGTAAATACGAAATTAACCAAAGACAGGTTGCTGCTTCCATGTTAAATTGATGGTCTTCAAATGCATTGCACACACTCACCCAAGGCTTTTCATTTCCAAGCAGTGTGGGGATTGCCACAGGGAAAACAGAGGCAAGGGATTGGCATCAGCCAGAGAAGCTGCAACAGCACATCTGGCTCCTGGTCCTGACTAGGAAGAGATTATCACCTCTCCTAAACACAAACTACAGCTGCTTTTCAAGGATTAAGGTGTAATTTAATGTTATTTAGTTCTCTTCGTTGCTGGTTTCCCCCTTCTCTTCAAGCCTGGTCATCACTGCTGTCCTGACCAACAGTGGCACCCAGTGGAGGAGGTGCAGCCTGCACAGTTCAGCTGCCAAAAGACACCAAAATCACTTTAGCAGCTGAATTTTGCATTCATCAAGCTGAATTTTGCACTCATCAAGCTGAATTTTGCACTCATCCAGCATTTCCCTGTTCAGACAGAGAAAAAAAGGCACCTGAATAAGAAATTTAACCCTACAGAGCAGAGAAAGGTGCAGCACAGCTCTTGACACTAACAGGAAGTTTCCCAGATAACATTTCTATGGAACATCACTATTTTTTTGTGCCAATAATAGCAAGTTTACAGTTCTATGAGGAACAGAAATCACTGTGTACCCTAAAAGAGCACTGCTCTTTTCAGGGACTTTTTTGGTCATCAGCATCAAGCAAACCAACATGAGGAGAAGACAAAGTTGCTGTGTTTACCTGACAGAGCCAACCTCTCCTCCCGTACTCTTCTCTGGAGCTCCTTTATTTCAAAATCTTTCTCTGACACCAGTCTGTAGAGCCTGCAGTTCTCATCCCGGACCTCTCGGAGCTGATCCTGCAGCTGCTCATTCTCAGCCTCAAGCAAACTGGGAAAAAATAAACCAGAATGGCAAATAATGCACAAATAGATGCTCCTGGAAAAAAAATAATGAAACAAGTGCCTGATAGATGGCTGAGCTTATCAGGAGTGAGTTTAATGAATTAGGCAGAATGTTCTAAACCTCAGATAAAAACAAAAGCTGATTATCTGATCTATTCAGATAACATCTTCTTTAAAAAAAAAAAATCTGCACTTTCTTGAGCTGTCTGGGGAAAAACATCACAGAGTAGGTGTATTGAGATTACCAAATAGTGTCATCTCAGTTTTACTTACCTGGTTCTTCAGAGGAAATCAGGCAGCATTCAGCATGTGGGACATTCAGGCTTTCTTTTCTATACTTGACAAAGCCAAGAGAAGCCAAGAGAGCATTGACTACAAAGCTGCCCCTGGGGTCTTTTAAAAATCAATGTTTTAGAGCAATTCATAAAAGACCAATTTCCCATGTCCTCAGCTGATTCTCTTGGAACCCGGTGAGCATCAGTCTGTATTGTTAATGGTGCCTTTTGGAATTCATTTAGAAACAGAGAATACCAAAAAAGCTCTCTGAATGGAAAGAAACAGCCTTGCTTCTCCTATTCTTCAGGACATTTAGCAACATTTAAAGGTTTCATGTCTCTAAGACATCCAGAGAATTAATAACTTTAATCTCTTTACTGCCCTGATACGATGGGTCCTTCAAATACAAAATCCAGGAGCTGCAGCCTCAGGGGCTTAATTCAATTGCGGGAGTTCAGAATTATCTGAGCTCCCAGGCACAGGATCCTAGAGAAAACCTGGGATTTAATATAATTACCCACTCACAGGTGACATTTGGGCTGCCCACCTGACCCCAGCTGCTGCTGGTGGAAGATGCAGGTCTCCAGTGTCCCGTGATTCCCATGTGGAAGTTCCTGATAATCTACAGCATTTCAGTAACCCAGACACCTAAATCAGCTGGATGAATTGACTCCTAGATTCTCACTTAACCCTAAAAGTTTACACTTTGGAGATGTGGTTTGGATAAAGCCCAGTTGTTACAGTCAGTACCTGTAGACACAGGCAAGTCAGATGTCTCAATAATCATCTCAATTTTTTTATTCTACAGTTTTGGCAGCTTTTAGCACCCATTGCACCTGGGAGCTTTTAAATGCAGCCTCTATCTGCCGGTGGCACAATAAATGCCCTTAATGCACTGCCATAAACAGCACAGCCAGTTTAGGAGAGGATTCACAATGCATAATTAAGAAATGCACTTGTGTTTCAAAGCTGCAAATCAAAGGGAGATCAAAGGCAGCTGTTCACAAAGGAGAAGAAAGTAAGGAGCAATGTGAGCAGAGGAGAGGCAGAACTGAGTTATTCCCACATGAACCACTCAGAAGAGTGAGCAATGAAACCCAGATCCAATTAGAGACACCTGGACCAAAAGATTTTGAACAGCTGGGGGATTAACATGGAAAAAAGGTTCTAAGCTCTTAACACACCTGAGCAGTGAAGTCTTCTGAGAGCTGGAGTCCAAGTCTTGAGGAAAAGCACTTAGAGGAGGATGGCCAGAAATCCCAACTGCACAGAGCTGGAGTTGTCTCTGAGGAACTTCCCACCCCATCCCAGAGTGACTCTCCCTGTTACAGAGGCTACAGAAAATGAGCCAAAAGAAACAGGCTGCAAAAGGTGCCCCTTTTCACTCTCCTTCAAGGAATCAAAGCCAGGTGGAGCTTATGAGCAGGGCTCTGCCTGGAATTCAGGTGGTTTCCCAGATTGCATGCTCTGTTCCGGCCAAAAAAAGTACAAAAAAAGTAAGGAATTTAACTTTTGTCAAATTGTGTCTTTCCCAACTCTTGTTAGAGATTCTCCACGTGATGGGGAGAGTCACTTAGATACATTCAAGTACACCAAACAGAGAAGGGAGGATAAAGTTACAGAGAGAACAAAACAGAAAGGCAGAAATATCAGCTAAACACTTGTCTAAAAAAGACTGGGGAGTAGGATGGGAGGAAGGAAAAAAGAATTCCCAAGGCTCAGAGGAAGGGGGAGTTCTGAGAGGAGAATGTTTTCTGATTGCTGCTATAAACAACAGTGACAAGCTGAAATCGCTGCCACTGCAGGCCATGTGCAGTCCTGTGATCCTGAACAGCCCTCTGATGTGTTGTCATGGGAATATTGCAGAGAACACCCTAGTGAATCCCTTCCAAAAACAAACCCTGCTGGCTTTGATCACTCACAACCACTCCTCTGCTGAATGTACACAAGCAAAGGACAATCCAGATAGATCTGCCACACCTGCCATGTCAAATAGGGACTTCTGACAGTCAGTGACACAGCAACAAAGGTGAATAAAAAATCTGGGATTACTCAGGCCTCAGCTCTAAATAGCAGAGAACTACTGGGCTTTCCTGTACTCTGCACACTGCCCATGCTGTGCCATGGGAGCACCTAAATCCCTTTCCTCTGCCAAACATCTGAACTATGAGAATCAGCCTCACAGAATTTTTTTAAAAATCAGATTTCTATCACAATCTTCTACAGATTATCAGAAGACTGCTGAAAGGAAGAAGACAGCTGGTAGAGGTCAGACTTGGGGCCTAACTTGGCAAATCAGACAGCTCTGATGAGGCACCAGTGCATGAAGGAATTTCTTTACCTGGCTTCATCACTGCCACACAGCAAAGCCCTGCACAGCCAGTGTTGCACTAAGGTAGAAAAATCATAAAGAAAACTTCATAAAATCAAGCCTGCTCTGTTAAAATCAGTGGCTGGCCTTGTCAAAACTAATATTTTGCAAGTTCCCATGTGAAAGCAATGCTGGTGTGAGCAGTTCATTAACATAACAATCTATTCCTTGGTGAAAAACAACTGGCACCTGTATAAACTGTATTTTACACCATTAGATAGAAAAATGAACATTATCTCTCACAAACAACTTTTCATGCACATACACCCTAGGGGTTTGAGTGACCAGTCAATATGGAATAACAACTTGTTAATAACCAATAAGTACTTGGCAAGAAAGCTACTGACCAATTGGACTCCCACACAAGATCTGTAAAACTGAATAAAAAGGATTTATGCAAATAAAGAATGGGCTTTTTCCACCATGAAGAAAATGGAGTCCCACAGCCAGCAGTGCAGACACCTTTGGGGTGTGTCCAGCCCCAGACCTGTTCCAGTCAGGAGAAGAAGTATTAATTGGGTCAGAGGGAAAGGCTGACTATATCCTGGAAGGAAGAGAAATTATCTGAGCTGGGGCTCTAAATCCCTGCTCCAGTACTCAGCTCAAAATAAAATGCAAGATTAAGGGAGATCCATACAAAATGCCCAATATCCTGGTAATCTTATGATCCACCAAATCAGGATATACTGCACAGAAATCCCAGGGAACACTCTTCTGCACTGCCAGCCTGTGGCTTGCTCCCATTAGCTGCTTTGCCTCTGTCAACCTTTGGAAATTACTCATATAGGGAATCTATTTGCTTAAACCTTGGCAGGAACTAACCAGCAGTTCAGAGGGTGCCAGTGACCCCAAAAGGCTGGATTTTGTCAGGTAGTACCTGGCTGCCCCTTCATTTGTAAAATACTGATATTAAAGAGCACAGCACAATGCCCTGATGATAATTATGGACAGGGAGAATCTCCTCAGGATAATGAAAGCCCAGTGTGTGAAGACACAGAGTTCTATCAGCTTAATAATATTGAGTTTCATGGGATCATAAGCAAAATATACTCCAGTGACTTCCTGAAGGAATAGTGCTGCCAGACCTTTACCTTTTGCTGGCATCTTCATTTACAGGAGGTCCTTTTTTAAACAGGTTTAGATCACTCAGGGCTCTTATAGTCTCCTTTGTGCTACCAGTGTCCTTCTGCCTGTCCTGCTTCTCCTTCTTCATCTCCTTCAAGTTCTGCAGCCGCCTTTGCTGTTGCTCCTGATAAGCCTTGAACTGGCTTTTGAAATCTTCATTCACTTTTCCATCTGGCTCCATTGTTTACTGAAAGCATAACAAGAGGAAAGTAAAAAGTGAGAGGGAGCAGAGATCAGCACTGCTCTGAGAAACATCCCCTTCTGGCAGCTGCTCTGCAGCTTTTCCTCGCTGACCTCTGCCCAGTCTCCCACCACCTCCTCCTCTCCAGCCTGGCTTCAAGTGCCTTTTTCCAAAAATGGCTTTTAAACAGCCCTTTAAAAAAAAAAAGTTGTTGGGTCTTTTTCACTCCAAATGTTCCTAAACAGACCTGTTTAAATAAACATTTTAACAGAGGAGCAGGTTGGGGCCAAATCCAAGGCAATGTGGCAGCCACGTCACACTGGCTAAATGGAGCACAGAGTGTTTGGGACCATCCAGCCTCCCCGCCCATGTCCAGGAAAGATAAAAATCCCCCCAATTTTTGGGTTAATGAGAGAGAAAGAAAAATATTTTTTTCCTTATGCTCCCTTTAGGGAAGACAAAAGTGTGGCTTACACCTTTCCTGCAATTTTCTAATCACTGAGTGATGACATTAAATAATTAAATAATAATATATTAATTATTAAGTGTATTTAATTATAACAATATATTATGAATAGATATTTTAAAATATTGATATTGCTACCCAAACATTTTCTTAGGATGACTAAAGGCAGTTTTCTGATAAATTGCAGCCCCTTTCTCCTTCTCTTTGACGTTTATTGTGGGCAAAAAAACCCTATTGCACCTTTGGTCCAGGAAAACCAATACATAAATACCTCTAAAGACACGCCCTGCACTGAGTAATTAACACAGGGCCTTTCCCACACTGAGGGAAATCCAATTATCCTGATTAGTGCACCAAAAGGCAGAGTGTTCCTTTATGTATTTTATAGGCAGAGAGTCACCTGGACAAGGTGCAAGGAGCAGAGTCTGGTGCCTCTGCACAGCCCACAGGGCTCAGGGCATGAGGGATCAAAGAATTACTGAGTCAGTGAGGTTGGAAAATTAATTTAAATCGATTCAAGCTGATTCTGAGCTTTAGAAAAAGCCTGCAAAGATAAGGAGTTAATTCCATTTATTTAAGCAAACTGGATATAAAAGTTAGAGAGCTTTTTCTGCTTTCAGTAAACTTTGGGTTGATAATTAAATTTATAATTAGATTGGACCTCTTCATAGATTTAGCTACTGACCTTAAAGATAGCAAAGATAAGCAAGAACATCTTCAAACAGTAGTTGTCTCTGTTCTGAAAATATCCTAGAATTATTAGTAGAGTAACTATTTTAGGCTTCATGATTTTTCTCAGAATTTTCTTTACTTCGACTGCACTGCTGATTAATTTATTATGTCATAACTTCTGGACTTATTTACTAATCTATAGGCCAAAAATGTGCATAGTACTCAAAGTTCAGCTCCAATGACACAATGCTAAAATGGAAAAGCCTTCTCATATCCTTGGGTCCAACCATTAACCCAGCACTGCCACCAAACCTTGTCCCCAGGTGCCACATCCATGTGGGATGTGAACACTTCCAGGGATGAAGCGTTCCACACTGAAGGGTTCAACACTTCGAGTGATGAAATATTCCCAAATATCTCATCTAAACACCAATCACTTGGTTTTTAAAATTTTTCAAAGTTTAATAATAATGAAACTGTGATAAAAACAGTAATATAATTAGAATAATAAAATTTGGAGTTAGGACAATTACAAGACAATAAAAAGCAAGAATTAAGGATGTCTGGATGCTCTCGGACACTAAGTCATGAAAAGCATCCCTTGTGAACAAAGGAATAACCTTAAAAGCAATAGCCTCTTACATATTCATATATCCTGCATGATTATGCATACATTCTATTTAGAAAAAGAAACTCTGACTGGTATATGTTAACTTTTTCTGTCAATCCCCACAGTGTCTTCGAGTCTGAGCAAGGCCTGAAGAAATTAGCTTCTTCTGATAAGAAAACCATAAATTACTTTTCTCTGGAAGATTTAGGTGTGCTTCGAAGCGAGAATCTCATTCCCCCCCCCCCCCCCCAAAAAAAAACCTCCCCCCACATACATAGTCTCTATTTTAACATTATGTTGGAAACTAAAACTATATTTAACGCCCTACTTAAAAGAATTAATACAGCATAACTTTCTAACATTACATATATAATATTCATTGTAATCGTTGTGAAATCAGCTTCTTCTGATAAGAAAACCATCAATTCCTTTTCTCTGGAAGATTCAGGTGTTCCTCAAAGCGACTATCTCATTCCTAAAAAAGAAACTCCCCCCCACATATATAGTCTCTATTTTAACATTATGTTGGAACCTAAAACTATATTTAACACACTACTTAAGAGAATTAATACAGCACAGGTTTCTAACATTACACATATAATATTCATGGTAACATTTGCGAAAAGTCAATCATAAAATATGCATTTTTCACATAAACCATCCAGGCAGGAGGCAGCAGGTGACACAGGAACTCACACAGGTGGCTTTAGGTGGGAACCTAAAACTATATTTAACATCCTACTTAAGAGAATGAATACAGCATAACTTTCTAACATTACACATATAATATTCATGTTAATATTTGCGAAAAGCTAATCATAAAATATGCATTTTTCACATCAACCATCCCTGGCTCCAGGCAGGAGGCAGCAGGTGACACAGGGACTTTGGAAAGTCCCTACAGGAGGAGACTCCACGCTCTTTTTGGTTAGACCCTCAGCGGAAAGAACTTCTCACCCATTTTAAGGCAGAAATTCTCGTGTTTACGTCTATATATCTTAATTACAAACCCGTAGCTGTAATTGTCACCCACCCGGCTCGCCGCTGTGACCTGCCAGGACCCGCTAGGTCCTGTTCGCTCACCGCGGGAAGTGCTGCCCGCACCTCTGGCCTACCCGAGCCGCGTTGCCGATGGCACCGGGAGGCTGCCCGGGGCTGTCCCCGTTCCCCCGTTCGGCGGGAGCGGAGCTGCGGCCCCGGTTCCCGCTGCGGGCCCGATGCGGTGCCCATGGCAACGGCGGCGCGCGCTGCCCTTCCCCTCAGCGCGGCCGCCATGATGGCTGCCCCCTCACGGCGACCCCGCCGCCATGATGGCTCCCCCCTCACGGCGCTCCGCCGCCATGATGGCTCCCCCCTCACAGCGACCCCGCCGCCATTCCCGCCAATCCCGGCCCCGCGCACCGCCTCCTTCACTGGATTTTCGCTAATGTTACAATGAATGTTATATGTGTCATGTTAGAAAGTTGTGCTGCATTCGTTCTCTTAAGTAGCGTGTTAAATACAGTTTTCGGTTATGTGAAAAATACATATTTTATAATTGGCTTTTCGCAAATGTTACAATGAATGTTATATGTGTAATGTTAGAAAGCTGTGCTGTATTAATTCTCTTAAATAGGGTTTTAAATATACTTTTAGGTTCCAACATAATGTTAAAATAGAGACTATGTATGTGGGGGGAGTTTTTTTTTAGGAATGAGATAGTCGCTTTGAGGAACACCTAAATCTTCCAGAGAAAAGGATTTATGGTTTTCTTATTAGAAGAAGCTAACTTCGCAAATATTACAATGACTATTATATGTTTAATGTTAGAAAGCTATGCTGTATTAATTCTCTTAAGTAGCGTGTTAAATATAGTTTTAGGTTATGTGAAATATGCATATTTTATTATTGGCTTTTCGCAAATATTACCATGAATATTATATGTGTAATGTTAGAACCTTATGATGTATTAATTCTCTTAAGTAGGGTGTTAAATAGTTTTAAGTCCCCACCTAAAGCCACCTGTGTGAGTTCCTGTGTCACCTGCTGCCTCCTGCCTGGATGGTTTATGTGAAAAATGCATATTTTATTATTGGCTTTTTGCAAATATTACCGTGAATATTATATGTGTAATGTTAGAAAGCTGTGCTGTATTCATTCTCTTAAGTAGCGTGTTAAATACAGTTTTAGGTTATGTGAAAAATGCATATTTTAAGATTGGCTTTTCGCAAATATTACCCTGAATATTATATGTGTAATGTTAGAAAGCTGTGCTGTATTCATTCTCTTAAATAGGGTTTTAAATGTACTTTTAGGTTCCAACATAATGTTAAAATAGAGACTATGTATGTGGGGGGAGTTTTTTTTTAGGAATGAGATACTCGCTTTGAGGAACACCTGAATCTTCCAGAGAAAAGGAATTTATGATTTTCTTATCAGAAGAAGCTAACTTTGCAAATATTACAATGAATGTTAGAAAGCTGTGCTGTATTAATTCTCTTAAGTAGCGTGTTAAATACAGTTTTAGGTTATGTGAAAAATGCATATTTTATAATTGGCTTTTCGCAAATGTTACAATGAATGTTATATGTTTAATGTTAGAAAGTTATGCTGTATTAATTCTCTTAAGTAGCGTGTTAAATACAGTTTTAGGTTATGTGAAAAATACATATTTTATGATTGGCTTTTCACAAATGTTACCATGAATATTATATGTTTAATGTTAGAAAGTTATGCTGTATTAATTCTCTTAAGTAGCGTGTTAAATACAGTTTTAGGTTATGTGAAAAATACATATTTTATGATTGGCTTTTCACAAATGTTACCATGAATATTATATGTGTAATGTTAGAAAGTTATGCTGTATTCATTCTCTTAAGTAGGGTGTTAAATACAGTTTTAAGTCCCCACCTAAAGCCACCTGTGGGAGTTCCTGTTTCACCTGCTGCCTCCTGCCTGGATGGTTTATGTGAAAAATGCATATTTTATTATTAGCTTTTCGCAAATATTACCCTGAATATTATATATGTAATGTTAGAAAGTTATGCTGTATTCATTCTCTTAAGTAGCGTGTTAGATATACTTTTAGGTTACAACATAATGTCAAAATAGAGACTATGTATGTGGGGTGAGTTTTTTTTTAGGAATGAGATACTCGCTTTGAGGAACACCTGAATCATCCAGAGAAAAGTAATTTATGGTTTTCTTATCAGAAGAAGCTAATTTCGCAAATATTACAATGAATATTATATGTGTAATGTTAGAAAGCTGTGCTGTATTCATTCTCTTAAGTAGCGTGTTAAATACAGTTTTAGGTTATGTGAAAAATACATATTTTATGATTGGCTTTTCGCAAATATTACCGTGAATATTATATGTGTCATGTTAGAAAGTTATGATATATTAATTCTCTTAAGTAGGGTGTTAAATAGTTTTAGGTTCCCACCTAAAGCCACCTGTGTGAGTCCCTGTGTCACTTGCTGCCTCCTGCCTGGATGGTTGATGGGAAAAATGCATATTTTATTATTGGCTTTTTGCAAATATTACCGTGAATATTATATGTGTAATGTTAGAAAGTTATGCTGTATTAATTCTCTTAAGTAGGGTGTTAAATATAGTTTTAGGTTCCAACATAATGTTAAAATAGAGACTATGTATGTGGGGTGAGTTTTTTTAAGCAATGAGATACTCACTTTGAGGAACACCTAAATCGTCCAGAGAAAAGGAATTTATGGTTTTCTTATCAGAAGAAGCTAATTTCAAAAATATTACAATGACTATTATATGTGTAATGTTAGAAAGTTATGCTGTATTAATTCTCTTAAGTAGCGTGTTAAATACAGTTTTAGGTTATGTGAAAAATACATATTTTATGATTGGCTTTTCGCAAATATTACCATGAATATTATATGTGTAATGTTAGAAAGTTGTGCTGTATTAATTCTCTTAAGTAGGGTGTTAAATAGTTTTAGGTTCCCACCTAAAGCCACCTGTGTGAGTCCCTGTGTCACCTGGTGCCTCCTGCCTGGATGGTTTATGTGAAAAATGCATATTTTATGATTGGCTTTTTGCAAATGTTACCATGCATATTATATGTGTCATGTTAGAAAGCTGTGCTGTATTAATTCTCTTAAGTAGTGTGTTAAATATACTTTTAGGTTCCAACATAATGTTAAAATAGAGACTATATACGTGGGGGGAGTTTCTTTTTAGGAATGAGATACACGCTTTGAAGAACACCTAAATCTTCCAGAGAAAAGGAATTTATGGTGTTCTTATCAGAAGAAACTAATTTCTTCAGGCCTTGCTCAGACTCGAAGACGTCATAAGAATTAAAAGAAACAGTTAACATACAAGAGAGTTTCTTGAATATATGCATAACCATGAAAGATATATAAATATGCAACAAGTGTATTATTTTAAGGGCGATCCTTTGTTCACAAGACATGCTTTTTGTGACTTAGTGTCCGAGAACATCCAGACATCCATAATCCTTTGCTTTTTATTGTCTTGTAATTGTCCTAACTCTAAACTTTATACCTCTAATTATATTACTATTTTTATAACCATTTTATTATTATTAAACTTTTAAAATTTTAAAAACCAAGTGATTGGCATTTTTCAGTGTTAAATATATTTCTAGGTTACAACACAATGTTAAAATAGAAACCATGACGTGGATTTTTTTTTAAAGGAACGAGATACCCCCTTTGACATAACAGTCACAGAACACCTAAATCTTCCAGAGAAGAGGAATTTATGTTTTTTTTATCAGAAGAATTTAATTTCAGACCTTGCTCAGACTCAAAGACACCGTGGAGATTAACAGAAAGAGTTAACATATACCAGTCAGAATTTCTTGTTTTAAAAAGAATTTATGCATAACCATGAAGTATATATGAATATGCAACAGGCTATTGCTTTTAAGGGTTATTTCTTTGTTCACAAAACATTTTTGGCAGCTTGGTGTCCAAAAACATCAGGACGTCTAATTATTTGCTTTTTATTGTCTTGTAATTGTCCTAACTCTAAATTTTTCTTACTCTAATTGTATTATTATTTTTATAACCATTTTATTATTATTAAACTTTTTTTAAAATTCGAAAAAGAAGCGATTGGCGTTTTTCACACTCCCCTTCTGTGTGGGAGCAGCCAGGGGTGATACCAGCTGGGATTCCAGGAGAGCACCAGCTGGGAATTCCCTTTCCCTGCCACCAACAAATCCATAGGTGAACAATTATTACCTCCACTGCTCACTTTTATTTATGTTTAATCTCCCCCTGCTCTGTACAACAGGTCACAGAGAGGCAGGTGCAGTTTGTACCTTGTATGTGTAACATCTGAGACTGTCACCATGGAATGTCAGCTGACAGGAAAATACTTGTTTTTTTTAGAAATTGGCTTTTATTTTCATGACTGCTGTTGGAAGTACAAGGAGATTGAGTGTAAACTCACAGACAAGGATTTTAATACCTCAAAGGTGATGGGGGGTGCTTTTCAGATTTAAATGTTTTAAAATTTTCTGTGGGAAACAGTACTGCAGAAATCAGCTAGATCGTAACAGTTTAAAAGCATTAAACCACCAAATTGTAGTTTTCACAATCTGTATTTTAAATGTTACATTTAGATGTTACTCAGAAGAACACCCTAAATAAAGTTACAAAATATCATAATCCAAGGTTCTGATATAGCAAAAATAGGGAGCCTGTGTCTTCGTTAACAATGAATAAATATAACATTTAAATAGCTGCAACATACTTATCACATGCTTTAAATAAAAAATATAGATGTTTATATAGCTCTCAATATTTGAGAAGTCATTTAGTGCTACTGGAAGCTTCTAAATTAGAAATTTAGAGGCAGAGGATAGAAAATGACAGCAAGGTGTTCCTGACATTCCCTGACAGAAGCCAGTTCACACATCGTGGTTTTGGGCAACAACAGCAAAAGAAGTCACCAAATTTAGGACTGAGCTGAAGGGGAAGATTGAGGGATTGCACTCCACAATATCCCCTAAAAACTGGGATGTGGTGGTGTTGATCAGAGAGACCCAGACCCCAATACCCGCTCCCCCAGGTCACATTCTGAGGTTCAGCACAGAGTACCATACACAAAATAGAACAATTCTCTAATGCCATGAATTATTTGTTTTCCTCAAGAACCCCTCAAGAGGAGGTTTGGAGCTGCAGTACACAGGCCACCACCAGGACAGGGATTTCAGACAGCTTCCCACTATTCCTTGGGCTTCAACACATACTCCTGGAACATGGAATACAGCACCCCTGCAAGACAGAAATAAAAAGCACAAT